GGTGCAAAGGAGGTTCACTAGGTTGATTCCGGAGTTGAGGGGGTTGGCTTATGAGGAGACACTGAGTAGATTGGGATTATATTCATTGGAATTCAGAAGATTGAGGGGGGATCTTATAGAAACATATAAAATTATGAAGGGAATAGATAAGATAGAAGTAGAGAGGACGTTTCCACTAGCAGGTGAAGCTAGGACAAGACGGCATAGCCTCAAGATTAGAGGGAGCAGATTTAGGACTGAACTGAGAAGGAATTTCTTCACCCAGAGGGTTGTTAATCTGTGAAATTCCTTGCCCAGTGAAGTAGTTGACGCTACTTCAGTAAACGCTTTTAAAAAAAAGTAGATTTTTTTTGAACAATAAAGGAATTAAGGGATACGGTGAGAACGCGGGTAAGTGGATCTGAGTCCACGAAAGGATCAGCCATGATCTTATTGAATGGCGGAGCAGGCTCGAAGGGCCAGACGGCCTACTCCTGCTCCTAGTTCTTGTGTTCTTGTGTTGTGTGTTCTTGTGAATTAACAAGTTGCACATTGCAAGCTCCCACAAATAACAATGGAGTAGTGACTAGATTAGTGATTTTCACCAGGGCATCAGAGAGAATGCTCCTGAAAACAGCGAGTATGCAATGTAACACACCCAACAGAGTGGGCAGATTTGGTTTAATATCTGTTTAGTCTCTAACACTGAAGCTCTACCTCCGTATTGTACTGGAAGCATTAGCCTATACTACGTGCATTGACAGTAAATTCAACTGAGAACTCTCAACCAAACCTGATGTTGCCTAATTACTCTGACTTATCTCTTCAGTTCTGCTCTCACCAGTCAAACAGATCGCCTAAACTTGGTTCCTCACCTAATATTTCCCAGGAAAACCCTGGGTAATAGAGGGAAACTGAGATGTGCTCAATTGCATGCAGTTCTCTCTATTTATGGATTTTTGGAGCAAAGGAGCAATTTCAAAAGTCAATTATCTCCTCTTTTTGAACTTTTAATTCAGCTTTCTGAACCTCTGTTATAATCAACATTCATTATGAGTCACATGCTGTTGAAGTAAGTTCAGGGAACATGACAGACAAATGTTTGACGAAAAGCACAGAACAGTTCACTGGCATTCTTCCAGGATTTAAATCTGTCGAGGAGACAGTCTGGACACAGAACATAACATTGGACAGGATTCCACTAGTGGACTGGGATTCATGTTCTTTTTCATAATTTGTTCATGGGATGTGTGTGTTTCTGGCTGGCCGAGCATTTATTTCCCACACCTAATAGCCCTTAAACTGAGTGACTTGCTAGGCCACTTCATAGAACAGTTAAAATTCAACCACATTGCTCGGGATCTGGTTTCACATGTAAGCCAGAACAGGAAGGGATAGCAGATTTCCTTCCCTAAAGGACATTAGTGAACCAGATGAGTATTTACAATAATTACTGATGGCTACATGGTTGCTGTTAAGCTAACTTTTAATTCCAGAATTTTACTAAATTAAAATCTCACCATTTGTCTTATGGTGGGATTTGAACCCTTGCTCCCCAGAATATTAGTCTGGAACAAAAACAGAAGTTGCTGGAAAAGTTCAGCAGATCTGGCAGCATCTCTGAAGAAAAAATCAGAGTTAACGTTTCGGGTCTGGTGACCCTTCCTCAGAACCCAAACGTTAACTCTGATTTTTTTCTTCACAGATGCTGCCAGACCTGCTGAGCTTTTCCAGCAATTTCTGTTTTTGCTCCTGACTTACAGCTTCCGCAGTTCTTTCGGTTTTCATTAGTCTGGAACTCTGGATTATTAGTGCTGGATTTTCCAGCAACACCCACATCCCATGATCGAAGAAGATAAAAGCAGTTATACTACCAATGGTTAACATTCATGCAATTATATAAAATGAGAGCCATTGGTATTTCTGTTCATCTACACGTGTATTTTGGGTTTATTTTGGAAGAAAGACTAAAATCAGGCAAAATGAAAATCCTATACTTTTGACATTTTACTTTTTAAGGATATGGAGCAGTATAGTATAATAATATTCACACTGGTCAAAGAAAACTGTTTACATAGACTTAAGGGCATAGAAACAGGGCATTCAGCCCAACAAGTCTAGGCTGAAATCTATGCTACACAATAGCCTTCATCCACTCCTTTCTAACTAATTCTGGATAAAGAGTTATAGAGTGAATAGAATTATTTACAGTGATTTTTATATGGAATTAATTATGACACAGAAGGACAACCATTCGGCTAATCAATTCCATGCTGACGTTTGATGGAGCAAACTCAGTCAGTCCAGTTTCCTGTTCTGTCCACATAATTCTGCCAGTGGTTGAGTAATCCCTTTAAACATCATGACTTTAGGAGATCCTGCTTTTATTTCTGCCTTCAATTTATCTGTTAACTCTCTCAATGGGCTGTTAAGGTTGAGTTGTTAAATATATTCAAGGCTGAGATAGATTTTTAATCATTAAGGGAATCAAGAGTTCTAGGGATACGGCAGGAAAGTGAAGTTGAGGCTTATCAGATCAGCCACGATCTCACTGAATGGCAGAACAGGCTTGATGGGCAGAATGACTTACTAAATCTCCCATGTCTTATGCTCTGTTTTCTTTAAGATTCAGCTGACTCGGTCAGTTGTGGTGCTACTGAGCCAATGACATTCATCAATGACTTTCCTTCCATCGTTAGTTCAGATGTGGGGATTTTCACTGATGATTGTATAATGTTCAGTGCTATTCATCACTCCTCAGATACTGTGTCCAAATGTACCAAGACGTGGACAACATCCAAGCTTACACTAATAAGTGGCAAGTAACATTCATCTCACACAAGTACCAGGCAATGATCATCTCCGGCAAGGGACAACTCAATCATTTCCCCATGACACTCAATGGTATCCCCACTATCAACATCCTGGAGTTTACCATTGACCAGAAACAGAACTGGACTAGTTACAGAAATGGTAGCTACAAGGGGCGGCACGGTGGCTCAGTGGTTAGCACTGCTGCCTCATACTGCCAAGAACCCAGGTTTGAATCCACCCTTGAGTGACTGTGTGGAGTTTGCACATTCTCCCTGTGATTGCGTGGGTTTCTTCCAGGTGCTCTGGTTTCCTCCCACAGTCCAAAGATGCGCAGGCTAGGTGGATTAGCCATGCTAAATTGCCCATAGTGTTCAGGGGTGTGTAGATTAGGTGGGTTATAGGGGGATGGGTCTGGGTGGGATGCTCTGAGGGTCAGTGTGGACTTGTTGGGCTGCAGGGCCTGTTTCCACACTGTAGGGATTCTATTCTATGAGGAGTAGATCAGAGGCTGGGAATTCTGTGGCAAGTAACTAACCTCCTTACTCCCACATGCCTGCTCACAATCTACAAGACAGAAATCTGGAGTGTGATAGAATACTTTCCACTTGCCTGGGTAAAACCATCTCCAACACCACACAGGTATCTCAATACCATCCAAGACAAAACTGCCACTTTAAACCCATAACCCTAAAGATAACTATGCCCACTACTTTCAACACACACTTTGTTCACCACTGATACACAGTGGCAGCAGTATGTAACATATGCAGTAACTCACCAAGGTTCCTTCAACGTGACCTTTAACACCTAGGTGGACAAGGACAGCAGATGAATGGAACACCACCATTTTCAAGTTCCTCTCTACCATCCCAACTTGGAATTATGTCACCGCTCTTTCACTGTTGCAAAATCCTAGAACTCCCTTCCTAATAATACTTTTGTTACACGGCACAGGGTGCACCTACAATGCAATGGTTTCAAGATTACAGCTTAAAACCACTTCCAAAATGGCAATTAGGGATGGACAATAAAAGATGGCTCAGGCAGCAACACTTACTTTCCATAATTAAATTTAAAAAGGTTACCCTCCCCCTTCACTTTTTTGTCATGTCAGCATTGCCCTTATTGGGCTTTGCTTCTTACTGGTTCCCTGGCCTCATGGGTGTTTTTCCTGGTCGTGGATATATTGAATAAAATGATTTGCACAATAGTGTCTTCACTGAGTCCCTGCACTTATACACACACACAACATGGGTGTTGTGGGGAAAAAACTAAGCACAGCTGGTGTGGGAATGGAAAAAATATATGAACAGGAGATTCAGAATCTCCTCAGTTCAGGGGGCTGACTCCGAGCTGGTTGGCCACGGCCAGTGTCCTAACAAAGACTTTTAAAGTTGCAAGAAAATCCTCTTTGCGCAAGTTTTTGATAGCCTTCCTATTATCTCCTTATTTGGCTTATTGTTAATTTTGTCGACTGATAACATTCTTGTGTAGTTTCTTGAGACTCTTGACCAAGTTAATGATGTTTTATAAGTGCAATTTCTTGTCCTACAATAAATTGCTTACAATTCTACATTGTATGTTATTAGCTGTTCCACTTTTGCAATAACATAAACTCATTTGGACACTGAAGAACCTATTCAGCCCCTGCATTTGCTTCTGAACATTCAAACATTATGTGGTCCAAACATTACAAGCGCCAGTCTCAAGTATCTCACAAGAAACAACACAAAAATTGACTGGGCACATCTGTCAGGTATCCCTGCTCCTAACTAAGAAATGATTGTGGTAAGGTGCTAATGTCTCTGGGCTAAAAATAATCCAGAAATTTCTGACTAAATCTTTGGAGAGATGGGTTCCAATTCCGCTTGGCGAAATTTAAATTCAATGACTAAATTTGGAAAGTAAAGTTAGTCTCGGTGATGGTGACCAGGAAATGGTAGTCAATTGTCATAAAAACCCACCTGTTCATTGATGTCCTTCAGGGAAGAATCTGCTATCCTTACCCAGTTTGGCCTACTTGTGACTTCAGACACACAGCGATGTGGTTGGCTCTTAACTGCCCTCTGAAATGGTCCAACAAGCTATTCTGCAGCAGGTCCATTAGGGACGGGCGACAAATCCTGGCCTTGTCAGTAACATCCGCACCTTACAAAAGGATTTTTAAAAATTGATTTGACAGTGAGGTATGTGGTTTATTTGCTTACCATGGTCTTCATCTCCTTGGAGATGTGTTTGTAGAACTGACGCTCCACATTCCAAGGTGAACCAATGTTGGATATCGAGTTAGACCTTGTCCTGTTGAGTTTTGCAATCATCGCTTTCTCGTCCTTCTGCAGTGAGAATGAAGTATAGAAAATATTAGTCTCAAAAGTGAAGGAAATTCTGCACAAAAGAGAAGAACATGAGAAGAAGAACAAGTAAGGGGGAGAAGCACAGCAATGCTATGGTTATAATTCCACAGATCTACATGAAATATCCAGTTGGAAAGTGAGCTCAAATCTCAGTGGTTTGAGAATTGAGATTCAGTTTTTGAGACAATGAATGAAATGGCTTTTCTATATTAGATTACGGAGGACAAAGGCTTTACAAGGATGATATCAGAATTGAGGGATAATGCCTCTGAAACTGCTGGGGATCTTCTCTAGAGCAGAGAAGGTTAATCAGTGACACAACAAAGGTCTTTATTTACAATTTACAGGGATTTGATAAGCATGGATATGGAGAAAACTTTTCGAATTTTGGGTGAGAACAAAATTAAGGATATAAATATACACTAGTTACCTCTAAATTTAACAGGGGAATTCAGGATAAACCTCTTAAATCAGCTGGTGGTGTGTTGTATAATACCCACCCTAGAGTCCCTGTATCTAATACTTTTGTAGGTTTAAGTCACTAGTGACTTCAACTTATTGACTAGAACTACAGACAACTTACTTTCTGCAGCTGTTGTAAGAACATAAGAACCAGGAGTAGGAATTGGCCATCTGGCTCTTCGAGCCTGCTCCACCATTCAATAAGATCATAGGTGATCTTTCCATTGCCTCAGCTCCACTTACCCACCCTTTCACCATAATCCTTAATTCCTTTACTGTTCAGAAAATTATCTACCTTAGCCTTAAAAGCATTAAATGAGGAAGCCTCAACTACCTCACTGGGCAGGAAATTTCACAGATTCATAACCTTTTGGGTGAAGAAGTTCCTCCTCAATTCAGTCCTAAATCTGCTTCCCCCAATTTTGAGGCTATGCCCTCTCATTCTAGTTTCACCCGCTAGTGGAGACGTCTCCTTGTTCCTATCTTATCTATTCCCTTCATAAATTTATATGTTTCTATAAGATTCCCCCCTCACTCTTCTAAATTCCAATAAATATAATCCCAGTTTACTCAGTCTCTCCTCAAAAGCCAACCCTCTCAACTCTGGAATAAACCTAGTGAATCACCTCTGCACGCCCTCCAGTGCCAATACATCCTTTCTGAAGTAAGGAGACCAAAACTGCACACAGTACTCCAGGTGTGGCCGTACCAGCACCCTATACAGCTGTAATATAACCCCCCTGCTTTTAAACTCAATCCCTCTAGGAATAAAGGACAAAATTCCATTTGCCTTCTTAATTACCTGTTGCACCTGCAAACAAACCTTCTGCGATTCATGCACAAGGTCACCCAGGTCCCTCTGCACAGCAGCATGCTGCAATTTTTTGCCATTCAAATAACGGTCATTTTTACTGTTATTCCTACCAAAATGGGTGAGTTCATACTTTATTAACATTAACATTGTAATCCATCTGCCAGGCCTTTGCCCACTCACTTAAACTATCTATATTCCTCTGCAAACTTTCAGAGTCCCCTACACACTTTGCTCTACTATTCATCTTAGTGTCACCTGCAAACTTTGACACACTACATGTGGTCCCCAACTCCAAACAGGTATGTAAATTGTAAACAATTGCAGTCCTAACACTAATCCCTGAGGCACATCACTAGTCACTGATCGCCAACCAAAAAAGCACTCATTTATCTCCACTCTTTGCTTCCTGTTAGTTAACCAATCCTCTATCCAAGCTAATACATTGCCCGTAACGCTGTGCGCTTTTATCTTTATGCAGCAGTCTTTTGTGTGGCACCTTGTCGAATGCCTTTTGGAAATCTAGATATACCACATCTACTAGGTCCCTGTTGTTCACCATGCTTATAATGTCTTCATAGAATTCCATTATATTAGTCAAACATGACCTACCCTTCAGGAACCCATCCTGTGTCTGCCCAATGGGACAACTTCTATCTAGATGTCTTGCTATTTCTTCCTTGATGATATATTCAAGCATTTTCCCCACTGTAGAAGTTAAGCTAACTGGCCTATAATTCCCCACCTTTTGTCTACCTTCTTTTTTATACAGCGGTGTCACATTTTCTGTTTTCCAACCTGTTGGAACTTCCCCAGAGTCCAACGAATTTTGGAAAATTACCACAAGTGCATTTGCTATTTCTCCCGCCATCTCTTTTAGTACCCTGGAATGCATTCCATCAGAGCCAGGAAACTTGCCTACCTTTAGCTCCATTAGCTTGCACAACATTACTTCTTTTGTGACTTCAATGTACTCAGCTTTAAGTGACCTCTTCAAAGTTTTATCCAAACACTTCAGGTCTAGGACTAACCCTTCACTCTAAGACAATTTAACCTACAATATATCCTTACCTTCTCAGCAGCACTGGTCTACACAACAATCCTATTCCAAGGACTTCACAGGACTACCCAAAACTCAAAGTAAAACTGAAACTAAAAATCTCCCCCTTTAAGTTGTGGGTGTTCCCATTAATTTACATAAAAAAGCAAGTTCTAGCCCACTAAACCTTAAAGCCCCATTATTTACCTTGCTGGGTTGCAAAATATCGTAAAACAAAAAAAAAATCCATTAGTAGTACACATAAGCCCATTTACTCTAAAGCCAAAGCTTAAAAACTGTTTTAAAATAAATCACCATGATTACTGAAATACTTATAAGTTAATTTTTAACTTCAGACATATAGAATACCCATTGGTTCCTAATTCAAAACCCAAAAACTAAAACAATGTTAAAACATTTATTATATATTTAAATCACATCGTTTGCAATTTAATATAAGAGATAACAAGGTGTAGAGCTGGATGAACACAGCAGGCCAAGTAGCATCAGAGGAGCAGGAAGGCTGACGTTCCGGGCCTAGACCCCAGACTGAATGACCTGTTTTGTTGCTGTCAGAATTCGATATTGTGGAGGTGCTGGTGCTGTACTGGGGTGGACAAGGTCAGAAATCACTCAACACCAGGTTATAGTCC